TACTGAAGTTGGGCTAGCTGGTATATAATGATGTGCTACGTGATCGCTAGCTAGCATAACATAAACACAATGAAGCTGAAGGATGAACTTTTTTCCACTCGATAAAAGTTAATGTGAGGGTTCCCGAGGGTTAGGGATAAATGCAATCGCATGGCAGGATGCTGTAAACGGACCAAACTTCAGTCAGGAGAACAACTGAGATAATCCATCCACAATACGAGGTTAGTCATTAATATACTGCAACAACATGGGAGCAGCTGCAAGAGAATTCAGCATTAATTAATCAATGGTACAGAAGTGGAGGAAGCAAGAAGTTGAGTAAAGTTTGACTTATCTGACTGTTTTGTTTCGCTTAATGCGCGTTATAATCCGGTGCGCCTTATGGTCCGAAAAATACGATAGTTTGTTTTTATTTTATTTTGTCTTTTTGTTGTTACACTTACCAACAAAAGCTGGTTGGACTCTGAGCTCAGGTGATCTTTTAAGTTCACTTTTTTCTGCTCCCAGGTTTTCGTTATGGAAGTGACATTGTTCCCTTCTCCAAGGTCGATCAAGAACAGATGAAGTACAAGCACGATGGGAAGTGCTTCGCTGTGCTGGGATTCACCAAACAGACCACGGTAGTTTACTTTTTTGTGAAGACACAGATCAATTTGGGGTTGCAACAGGAGGGGCATCCAGGGAAGAAATGCAAACATGCAGTGCTTTGGCAACACCGAGTAAAACTGAAAGTAGCTTTATTGTCTAAGGCTGAGGCTGTTTTTGTTTCTGTTCTTACAGATACGTCGTAATCAGTTTATGGGTTCTCAAATCATCAAAATCTTTGCTGCGAGGGATGATGAGGTAAGAATGGAGATAAATGCTACACGGCTGTTGAATACATGTTGATACTGACATGTATCGTCAACTTTGTGCTGCGTGAGCAGCATGCAGGAGTGGCTCTGTCGGCTCTTATCCGCGCGCTGAATGAACTCCAGATGGTGGCTATTGTACGTTACGCTTTTAACCGCATCAGCAACCCTCAGGTGGGCGCAGCGTTCCCATGTATCAAGCAGGACTCTGAGGTGAGGAGCACGCTTTTTTTTATGTATATATTCACTACATCTGTGGCTGTTAGCACAGGGCTAACGATGCTTCTCTCACCCTTTGTAGTGCCTGATGTACATCCAGCTGCCGTTCATGGAAGACCTCAGACAGTTCACGTTTCCTTCTCTTGAAAACAAAAAGTTTACTCCATCAGGTACCGTTTCTCTATTTTAGGGGATAGGGCTGGGCCATATTATACCGTTCACGGTAAAACCGGTATAATGTTGGGCAATGATAAGAAAATGAAATATCGCGATAGAATATGGGTAAAACGTGCATGCGCAGTGCCTTTGTTTTCATACGCACATGCAGGAAAAAACGTGCCTGCGACGGAGAATAAGAACGGCGAAAGCGGATCATTGAATGAAACAGATGAACCAGAATTGGTTTGTAAAAATGCTGCAACTTCAGTGGTGTGGAACTTGTTTAGCTTTTGTCCATCAGATACACAACAAAGCACTATTTTTGATAGAGCATGCTAGCGGGCCGTCGTTATTACCGTGTTGTTTGGAAAATACGGCACACTTAAAATCAATCCTTTGATTTTTCTGAAAATCGACAGTGCCCCTTATAATCCCGTGTGCCTTATGTATAAATTCTGGTTGTGTTTACTGACCTCGAAACGATTTTATGTGGTACACGGCGCTCGAAAATCTGTCAGACGTTTTAGTACGACTTTGCTAAGCTATGAAGCCGCACCGCTTAATGGATTGTCGGAGCATTGCGGCTATCATAGGCAGGAGCCTCGCGGAGTGATACGTACTGTGCTTCAACATAATATTACCATATTGTGTGTGTATAACCTCTTTTTAAGTTTTGTGGATATTATACATGGTTATGCTGAGGATATGTCGGCCAATTTCCACTGGAAATGCCTTTTGGTTAAACTGTCAGCGAGGAATTTGAACTGTTACATTTTTATATAACTTTAATGTACATAAAAAACAGCTGCTCGTTTAAGTGAAAATACATTGATGGGGTTTTTTTTCACTAATAAAGTTGTGGAGTTGTAAAGTATTTTGTCTAGTGTCAATTATATCGTCAGTTATATCGTTATTGCAAATTTCCAAATGTATATCGTGATAAATATTTTTGGTCATATCGCCCGGCTCTATTAGGGGATTTGATTTGTCACTTTGCAGATTCTCTGCAGTCTTCATATAATAAAAACATTAATTTTTGTGCCATGTACGCGTCACATCTGTAATTTATGATTGCTGCTGCTATTACTTAAAGATTGTCTTCAGTATTCCTGGATGATTAATTGAATTTTTATTTTAGTTACAGTTTTAACGCTCATATATGTGGGCAAATAAGGAAATGTAGATAAATCAGTTGCTTAATTATTTGGTATTTTGGTCATTTTTGTTTTGTCTTGTGGTATAAATCAAGCGCAGTCCTTTTCTTTATAGTGGTGTGCCACCATCTGGCCTTAAAAACCTAAACTCATCAAATGTGTAGTTCAGCTCAAACCATTATGGAGATAAGGGCCTTTTTTTGTTTCAGGAAGATCTGTAAAAGTCAAAACAAGCTCTGTAGATGGAGTCTGCAGTTGTGTGGGTCTCCATATGCCGCGTTTGCACCCACAGATTTTTTGCGATTGAGGTTTGGGGGGTCGACAAAGTTGCTTGTGAGAAGGTCTTCACTGTCAAAAATATTTGCTAGTCTTAAGTTTCCCTCCTGAACAACCATGTCCCCCCCTCCCAATTATATTTAAAGGTCGAGTGAATCTGCTTTTTAATTATACTTTTTTGGCTGTGAGTTTTGCCAAGATCGTCTTACTCTGCAAGTATATTTGAAGTTTTGCAAATTACTCTGCTTTAAATATTATGTATCGGTAAAAATAGAAATGATGAACTTTTGTCTATTTTGAAAGCAAGATGTCTCTAATATCACTGAAAAAAAGCCTCAGTGTGCAGGCCTAATGTTTCTGCAGAAGAGATAAAGTGTTCTTTCAGTTCAAGCCAACGTTTTAGTGCATAAGCATAAATCACTGTACACAAACATCTGAAAAAAGTCATGGTTTAAATGGTTTATATTGGCACAGATTCAGAATTGCTGGTCTAATAACTGTGGCCCCACAGTTCTATGATATTGACTTCATTCGACTTGCACTGTATAGTGTAAATGAGATTAAGATGTAACCTTGAATGAGCCGTCATTGTCGTGTGATTGCTGTAGATGCTCAGCTGTCTGCTGTGGACTCTCTGATTGACTCCATGATGTTGGTAGAAGAAGATGAGAACGGAGAACAAAGAGACTTGTTCAAGCCCCATCGCATTCCCAACCCTGCCTTCCAGAGGCACTTCCAGGTACTGCAGTCCAGATTGCAATAAAGAGATTTAGTGTGGTCTCCTTTTACTCCTGAGTAGAGGCAGATTGCAACATTTTTTGAAGAAGATGTGGAGTGTTATTTCAGCTTAGACGAAAAAACTTTCATCTGTCTGACTACAGCTCAACAAGCTAGTAATCGACTATTATTTAGCCAGAATTGCTTCCTGTTCGGTCTCTTTTTGGCTCACCTCTCCTACCATCATTTTAGTGTCTGCACCATCGGGCAGTAAGCCCCGGTACCCCTCTTCCTCCGATAGAGCCATGGCTGAAAGCTGCTCTTGATCGTCCTGAGGTTATTACAGAACGCTGCCAAGATCCACTTGACGTGCTGAAGAGGAAATTTACTCTCACTGAAGTGGAGAAGAAAAAGAAGCTTAAAACTAGTGCTCAGATTTTTGGCAAAGAGTAAGTTTAGCTTCTGTGACGTGGTGCGTCATGGACAATATTGCATATTGGAAAGGATTATATGATTTATGCTGTTTTATTTCACGGTAGTCTGTTGCAAGATTTGTTTACATTTACTGGTTATAAAAATGTTAAAACAACAAAAAAAGCAGGATTGACTTTTAAGATTTTAACAGGCTGCCATTTTTCATTTGAAGGTCAGAGGAGTCCGAGGCAAAGAAAGTAAAAGAAGACGAAGCAGAGGAGGAGTATAACTTGGCCGACATTGCTGAAGGCTCTGTTACCTCGGTGAGAATCAGGGGGAGGGCTGGATGACTTAATAATCCTAGGAGATGGGCCCGCTGTGGTTGTGCTGCAGCTAGCCTCCTCCCCTATGAATAATTTTTCGATCTACATACAAAGGAACTAAAAGAGGAGACAAATAACAGAAATTAAGTCACACCTGCTCCACTTTGTCCACCATATGTCCCTCCCGCTGGTGCACTTCGCCCCTTTCATGCTTGCTTGTATGCAAGCTCAGTCCTTCCTGTTTGTCTGTCCTATCAGGTACTTAAATGGCTCTTCTTCCATCCTTCCAAAAAACATGCTGTCTTTTGAGATGTGGCAGTATTTTCTGTTGGTGGATGGGGCATTTTGATGATAAAGCTCACCAAACCATTATAGGGAGGAAAATTAGTTTAAGATAAAGTTGTCACATGAATATATTTCCAACACATTGTTCCAGCAGATTGTGTAAAGGCTACAGGGCCTCTTTTATCCAGGATCCAGGACAGTTGATTTCTATTATAAGAGAGGCTGAAAATTTCTTAAATCTTTGGATCTTCTTGATCACATGATAACAACATCAAGATAGTGGCTTAACAGTTAAACTTAAGTATTTCTGAACATATAAAATGCACAAAATGTTCAATTTTGCCCTCTCGTGGAGTGGTGAAGTATCCTGGATTCACATGGATGGATATGACAGAAGTTATTCAGATATTCTCGTTAACAAACAAGCAGCATGACATCACGCAGTGTCCTTGATGGAGATAACTATTATCTGTTCTGGATAATCATCAATTTTTTAACTGACACGTTCTAAAACTTCCATTTCATTCCCTAACCAGGTGGGAAGTGTTGACCCAGCTCGAGACTTCCGCGCTTTGATCAAACAGAAAATTCTTCCGTTCGGAGAAGGTGAGCTCCAGAAATTTTTTTTTTATTTTTTTTATTTTTTCCTGCTGGTACTATAAACCGTAATCACTCATGTACAGCCCCAGTAATTATGTTTATCTCTTTGTTTGGTTGTGGTGACCCTTATGTCCTTCCAGTCTGCCAGCAGCTGACTCACAGGATAGAGCAGTTGCTAAGCAACAAGAACACACAGTACTACATGAAAAGCATCACCTGTATCCAGGCTTTCAGAGAGCAATCCGTTAAGGTAAATAAACATTCACATTGATCTTCCTTTGGAGGAGCGATTGATGATGCGGTGTTTGCTGTTGGTTTGGCGTTTATTAGGATTATGAGCCTTAATAAGATTATGACTCTGTTTCTTTTCTTGAACACACAATTATTTGCTTATGTGTCTGTATGTAGATTAGAGTTTTTTCAAGACTGTTAAATGGAATTTAAATGTTTTATCTTTCGTACTCAGCTGGGAAATGCTGAACACTACAATAGCTACCTTCAGTCCCTGAAAGGAAGCATCCCAAACAGAGGACTAGAGGTGTTCTGGGAACTGCTCGTTCAAGGTATGATACGCCTTTTTACTTAGAGCTGTGGTGTTTCTCCCAACTTCGCAATATCTAACCAAGTCAAGAACACTCACAAGGAAGTAGGTCCAATCAAGAGATGCCTTCATGAATGGAAAAACGGAGGGTTTACAACTTGATGGCCAAATTAGACTTTGACAGGAAACACCTAACAGTGCATGCAGAGTTCTTTGGACAGATGAAAATATGATTAATTTGTACCACAACGAGGGACAGTTCATACCACATCATCTGTCAAACATAGTGGAGGCAGTTTTATGCCGGTGGTCACTTGTTGATTGATGATGCGATTGCTGATAGAAACAGAGTGATCAGTTCATTATCTCTGCTCAGATCCTGTCAAATGCTGAAAACTGATTGAAGAGCAAATTGCAAAAAAAGCAACCCAAGTTTCCCAAGGGAAAGAAAACGGGATAAGTCTACAGTGGCCACATTAGTCACCATGTCAGTCACTCATTAAAGCAGATTTTCGTTATTAAATACAAAACTGAAACCAGACCAACAAAAAAGCAGCAACTGAAGGTTGTTGAGGTGAAGGTGTAGCAGATCATCTCAAGGGAGGAAATATAACATTTAGTGATGTCCAAAGCTTCTAGACTTCAAGCTTCTATTGGCTGTAAAGGATTTTCATCCAAGTATTGAAAACAATCCTTATATTTACAATTATGTTAGTAAACCAGGTAGTTTTTATTTTTTGTGTTAGTTTTAGAACCGAGGGCCAGTATATTTAAATAATTGCAATTCCTAAACTGTTAATTCATAAAAACTATGAAAATATTCTGATGAAAATAGTGATTTATTTTTTTTTCATTTTATCTTTTTGCGGGGAGAAAAAAAACGTTTTGCCTCAAATTCAGGCAATTTGTATCTAACGTTGAGTTTGATCAACAGATGGTTTAACGCTGATCAGCAAGGATGAGGTGGAAGGAAGCTTGGTCTCCAAAGCCGAAGCTAATCAGGTGACTTTAATTTGAATTTGGTACACGTATGAATTTGAGATGATCTTGAGTCTCTTTCTTTGACTGAAACTGTTTTTTTTTTTCTCAGTTTCTGGTTGCTGAGGAGAAGAAAGAGGAGGCAGCTCCTGCACCAGTTGAAGATACTGGAGATGTTGATGACTTGGTAAGCGTGCAGTTTTTATTTCTGACATTTCTTTATTTTTATTTAAATACGTGTTTATGTAACTGTTGTGACTCGAATGGTGTTAAAACCATTTCCTGTGTATCTACATGGGGCGTGTGTGATGTGTTGAGCTCTCTGATATAAACTCTTAGGGGTTGCATGTTTTTTTTTTTCCTCTCTGTGCAGCTGGATATGATGTAAAGGGAAAAAAAGATGGAAGAGGAGTGTTTGCGGTGGACTCCAGAGAAATTAAAAGAATGCACGCTCTCAGTCCAGCCAGACCAAACCAGTTCAGCCGTCCATTGTTCCTTCACTCCCACTTGGAGTCCTGCCATACTTAATGGATCAACTGTGGTTTACACATGCTGTCTAAAAGTACTTCACTTTAGAAATTACAAAAAATATTCTGCATACTTCAGGCAAAGGCTTTCTGTGTTTTGTTTGAGATTTTAAAAATTACTGCAGTTCTTGTGAGTCTTAAGGTGGTACCTATGTAGTAATTATGGCTACAGTATGCACTGAAAAATAAAGAAACCCTTATAGACTTTACAGAAGACAGAAATGCAGTGCCCAACAAACTGACGGTTTATTATGAAAAATCATTAAAAGCCTTATGGTTGATTAAGAGTGCATGACTTGCATTATATTTTGGTGTATGAAAATACTGATTGATCTTCTGACAAGATGTAGCAAAGCACAATGCTGTGACATCATTTGCAAATTATACAGTGCATAGCAGACTAAACCAGTTTTGTGTTTAAAGCATAGACTGTATAAAAAAAGAGAACGTTGCCACCATAATGCCAACCTTTGGTTTGTGGATCACCATTTTGAATCCTTGACTTTAGCACTTTGGAGCCAGAAGTGACCATATTTGGAAAAAAGGGTGAAACGTGAGAAAAAACCCTTTTTCTGAGGTGGGAATACAATTTAATTAGGGCCATGAGTATGCTGACAATGGTTCAAAATGGAAAAAGTTTTGTCCCACTTATCCATATACACTATATACCAAAGGTATTCACTCGTCTACCTTCACATGCATATGAACTTGAGTGACATCCCATTCTTAATGGTTTATTATTGTCAACCAACCCTGGGCACCTGTAACAACTTCAACTCTTCTGGGAAGGTTTAGGAGTGTGTTTATGTGAAGTTTCGACCATTCTTCTAGAAGCACATTTGTGAGGTCAGGCACTGATGTTGGACGAGAAGGTTTGGCCCACAGCTCACGAGTTTTTCCACACCAAACTCGCTTATCCATGTCTTTATGGACCTTACTTTGTGCACTGCGAACAGGTCTTCCCTAAACTGTTTCTACAACATTGGGAGCATGAAATTGTCCAAAATATCTTGTTGTGTTTTGTGTTGAGGCATTAAAAGGGCAAGGGGCAAAGCCCCACTCCTGAAAAACAACCCTGACACTTTGTGTTGTGCTTGGAAACCTTCTTCATGAAGCTCTCTGTAGACTGTTGTTGGGCTAATCTGAAGGCTACATGAAGTCTTTAGCAACTGACTCTACAGGAAGTTGGTAACCTCTGCATACTATGACCCTCAGCAGCTGTTAATCCTGCTCTGTGACTTTATGTAGCCTACCACTTTATGGCTGGGTTGCTGTCATCACTTTGCTATAATACGACTAATAGTTGACTATGAAATATTTAGTAGCGAGGAAATTTCATAACTGGATTTGTTGCACACTGAAATTCACTGATGTCCTGAGAGCTTTCTTTCATAAAAGTTTGCAGAAACAGTTTGCATATGGAGGTGCTTGATATTATACACCTGTGGCCATGGAAGTGATTGAAACACCTGAATGCAATGATTTGGATTTGTGAGTGAATATTTTTGGTAATATAGTGTATATTAAAAAAAGTCTAGTCTCACTTAAAGTGAGCTACACAAGGCAAAGTGTAATTTATGGTCCTGTAAATGTGTCCGTCTGTGTACACGTTTCTTTTTCACCCACCCCAGACACTCCAGTGCAGTCCTCCCAACATTCTGACTGCATGTGTCTAGAAGCAGATGATGCAAGCGTCTGCCGAATGTTGATTCATTGACAAGTGGGCCAGAATAGAGCAGGGACTGCTAGCGGAGTTCAGGAAAACCATTTTTTTTTTAAAAATTAAAAGATGAAAAGAATACAACATGAAAAGCACAGACATTGGACACTTTTCATTGTTTTTAAACGCTCTTTCACTTCAGCTCTTTGTATGTTATAAAGTTGCTCTTCTCCACGGCTGTCTGATGTACCAACAGCAGCACAAGCTAGAGTGACCCACAGACTGCTGTACCACATATTTTGCACACTGCCTCCATCTGGCAACAGGCAGACAGGCCATCCTTGGATTGCTACCGGACAGTGAACGCACCACCGTTGCGGGACCATAAATTCTGCTTGAGCTGCAGCTGCCAATGAATTACTTTAACCACTGACAGAACAAGGAAGCACCTAGAGACCCTCAGTTGTATGGCACATGGCTTCACTTTTCAAACACAGTGGGTGCCTGTGTTTGTCTTTTATATACTGCCTATGGGTTAAAGAAGAAACCTAGTTTATTTCAACCTTGTGTATTCCCCAATCAATTTGGCCATTGCAGCTCTACAAGCTGTTACATAAAAGCGACTTTATCGAGGAAACAAGCGCGAGCTCCTGAGGTTATCCAGACAATGTAGTCTTTTAACTTTTGCTTTTGATTCTGACCTAAGCTTAGAATTTAGCTGCCTGGAGTGGACCTGTTGCTAATTGCATCTGCATCCAAAAATGAAAGTGTTGGGATGATTTTCTACAAACTGCTAAAACAAAAGCCTGTCAAAGTTTTGTTTTTATTTAAATTTTAGTACACATGTGAGGTGTTAAACAAAGTGGAGGATGAAGTTGGCTCTTGCATGGTCTCAATGATGGGGAATATCCTCAGAGATATCTGAGATATCCTCAGAGGGTAAAATCAAGGACTGCACTATGACCCTGTATAAAGCTGCAGAGAGCACAGTCTTGTTTCACTGTAGGATGCTTTCCTCAATAGAGCCACAACAGCCAAATTAATGTAAAATACTATCAGGTTGAAATAAATTTTAATTATCCTTGAAAATGCTGGATTAACAGCTGTAGCACCAGTATTGGCTTACAGGAGCATTCTCTAACACACCCACCGGATGAAACGATCAAACATACCGGACCTTAAAAAATCTGAGAATTTTTCTGCTTTGAAGATGGCGTGCTGGTCCCCCATAGCCAGCTTTGTCAGGACTTCTTGATCAACATCACTTCCTGTGGCAATCACCGTGGAGACCACCTCGTGACGACGCATGGCACTGATCGCTTCGTCCAGATTGTCGCTGTTAGTGACACCATCTGTAATGAAAACGAATGAAATCTCTGCATTGGGCCTCGTTTGCCGGGCGCTTCCTCTAACCAGGATGTTGTTGATGGCATGTATGATGCCGGGTGCCACGCTTGAAGAAGAATCTAGATACTGTAAACCTGTTAAACTGTTAACAATCTGGGCAGGGTCATGTGCTAGAGGGAAAGCCACCCGATTCTCTGACTCCTTGCCAAACTCCATCAGTGCCAGACGGGCTCGCTTTCGATCGGTCCTGGTCCTGGCCAGTTCCAGCCTGTCTGCAACCTTCTGAACAAATTCACGAACAAGGAGGAAGTTTCTCTCCCCGAGACGCTCTGAGCCATCCAATAGAAATACCAAATCCACAGGCCGCTCAACACAAGGTGCTGAGTCAAGTTCTGAAATGAAACAAAAAAGAGCAATCACTTCCTGAAGTGCGTTTCATCATACACCAATCATATAACTATGAATAAAACCCACCACTTGTACAGGGGAGATCAGGGCACTTAATGACTGGATCTGGTGAGAAATTAAACAATCATAGGTTAGACAAACACACAAGGACTAGTACTGTCAGGCTGCTGAGATTATTGGTACAGGCTTACCAGGACAAAGGACAGTTTCCATCTTTTCTAAGAATTCATCAGCCACCAAGTCGCTGTAGCGCCTCATCTCAGTAGCCCGATCCTTCTTGTTGCATGCGATTGACACCAGAGTCTCGCTGTCATGTCTGGTGTCAAACATGTCCCCTATCCCGATGGCATTCACCACCACAGCGGGGTCGTTGCAGAGGTATGTGAGCTGATTGTCGTCGTCTCGGGGGTCAAAGCGGCCGTCTGTGACCACGACGACAGACACTTTGGATCGGGCTCTCTTGCTGTCCCTGATGAGGTTATCATAGGCGTACTTCAGAGCAGAGGGGGTGAAGGTGCCCCCAGCAATCCACCTCAGATTCTTCACTGCAGTTTTGAATGCAGTCATGGAGTTTATGTTTGGGTCATCGAGACGAATGCTCTCAAAGGTCCCGTTGTGACTGTATTGTACAACTCCAACTCTTGTGCCTAGGAGATGCACACATCTTTAATCAGTCTAAGAGTCAAACTTTTACATTTATTATTTCTGTAAATCTTTTTGGAAAAGCATCACAGATAAATTTGTTAGCGGTTACTCTGTAACACCGATGCATTTACAGCAGCACGGCGGTTGCATGCTTTACTCCAATCATAATTTCTAATGTCGGCAAGTGACAAGTGGCTCTGTAGTCTTAACAAGTAAAACATCCCTGGATGAATCACAGTTGTAATATTCATTTTCTCTTGTTGGGTATTTGGCAACTTGCTCAAAAAACAACAACAAACTGTTGTTTTGGTGTTGTGTTCTCAGCATGAATATTAATCAACCATTTTTATGTAGCACGATTTGAAATACTTTAGTCTGTAGTTGTTTCTGCAGAGTCACAGTGTTACTGAAGATTGGTGTGTATTTTAATTTCTTTTGGGTAAATCTGTAGAACACTTGCTCGCTTGACGTTACCAGTTGTTGATGTAGGTTCGGGCGCCATAGATCCCAGCCTGTTGATGGTGTTGATAACAAAGTTCTTCTCCAGGGTAAAGTTTGTTAGCCCGACACTCTCTGAGCTATCAATTACAAACACGATGTCCATAGCTCCACAGTGCTTCTCGCAGTCTGAGAGACAAACAACAAGAAGACCATCAGCGCGTTTAAACACCACATTTATGAAGCTTATGAGTGCTTATACTTTCTTACCGCAGCAACCACACGTCTCTCTGATGTAGCTCATGACATCACATTCCTGCAGTGGCATGTGCGCAAATTAAAGAGATACACTGAAGTGAGTAAAGGAATTCTTGCATTAAAATACATCAGTCTTTTTTAAATTTTACTCACAGTGAGCCCAGAATCGCCTGCTGTTCCTGGATCCCCCTGCACGCACACGCACACACACACACACCACAGAGAGAACAATGCACCTGGATCTCAAACTTGCATGCATGGTCAGCTCATTATCTGTGTGGCTGTAACTTACATCAGGTCCACGTTCTCCTCTAGGCCCTCTTTCTCCTGGCGGCCCCGACTGGCCTGGTTCACCCTAGATACAAAAATGTTTACAGTCAATGAAACCTAAATGACTCACAAAACACTTAAAGCCGTGCAAAAAAACACTGATGTTGTTAAGGCTTGCTGACAATTTAAATATATACGACACCAAAGAACAATCACCGTACACCCATGCAGCTGGTGTCATGTGATCCTGTGGGACTGCTGTGGTCTGATCATTTGTAATGTGTTCGAATAGGAAACAGCACCTGGTAAAATATCCAGCAGCATAAATAGCATTGTTCTTTGGCCTAATTCATACATATTTTTTATTTACCTTGCCATATTTTACAACTGTCACTGTGAGGTAAAGACAAAGTGATGTGCTCACACTCCAGAGACTAAATTCAACCTCATTTATATGTTTTTTAACACTTAACCTCAAATGATCTGCAGCCGTGCACTGCAGATATTTTCAGTTTCGTCAGCTATGCTTTTGCCTCCATTACAACACAACAGAGGTGGATAAGGCTTAATTTAAGGTGGAAAAAAATCCCCAGCAACATCTATTTCCAGAAACACCGAGCTTTCTATTCTGATTGGTTAAGGTAGAATAATAACGGTCCATGCAAACAGAATTCAGAATAAACTATTGGTTTCGGGGAGGTGGAATGAACCTTTTCATTAAAAAAAATAAATAAAAAGAAGGAAAAAATGACCAAATAAATGTTTTCACCTGATTACTTTCTGCCCATGTTATTTCTGTGCATCGTTTTAATATAATGTAATTTGCGAAAACATACTCGTGGTAATTGGGTCATTTTGTGTGATTGTAGAGAGCAAAAACAGCTTGAGCTGATTTGGTTTTGTTGAAAATCAGGGCAAGGTCACACTAAATGTGAAAATCTATAAACCTTGCCCTTCTGGGGTTGTTGGACACTCTTAAGTGCTCTTGTCTCTTTTAGTTTTAATAAGGAATTGCTCTATATTGGCTTTCTGTTTATCATATTCCCAGATGCTTTTCATTTTCTTTGTTTTTGTATCTTCAGTACCTTCACTTATTGGTGAGCAGAGATGGGCAGTAATCGGATTACTTTTTTCAAGTAACGAGTAAAGTAAGGGATTACTATTGCAAAAACGGTAATTAGATTACCGTTACCTTCCCGTAGGAACGCTGCGTTACTAAAACCGTGATTTTTTTGCGAGAATGTCTCATGACAATGAGTAAGCGAGTGCAACGTGTGTGACAACAGCTGTGTGCAGATCAACAATGGAT